TGTTGAATGATGTAAACAGCGATCCAGATTTGGTTTAACGGTATTGTGGAAAAACAATTCATAGCTTTTGCAACACGATGTAACTGTTCACTCGTTATTGTTTCCTCGTGATTTTTTGGCCAAAAACAACACCGTCATCATGCTTCAGTCACCGTATTCACCAGGTTTTGTCCCCTGCGACTTTTTTCTGTTCCCAGGGTTGGAGAGATCCATGAAAAGACGGCGTTTTGCGATGATTGAGGGGATAAAAACCGAATCGCTGAGTTCAAGGCCATATTGAAAAGTGTATATCAGAGGTGGGGGACACTACTTTGAAGGAGGCAGAATAGGGATTGATGGTTAACTGACAGACCTCAGAGACATTCTAAAACTGTATATCAGAACTGCTTCGAGGATTGGAAAATATGCTGGTACGCCTATAGTATATCAAAAGGCGACTATTTCGGAAGGGACAAAATAGAAATTGATGGATGTATATATATTTTTTCGGAAAAATTCAAATTCATTTCATTTCTAACAGACTTCGTATACCAAACCACCTGTTTTCACCCATATTCCCATATTTTCGTGCTCAATTGAAACTATGAATCTCAGTGATATAGTTTGAGAAAATAAAAATCGTTTGAGGACATTTACTAGATTTCAAGTATATTTTTTCAAATTTCTAGTATTTGCAACAGTTTTTGAGAAACGAACACCTTTTACTGTTTGAGGAAATCGTTATTTATGACTGTGAAACTATTTTTTAGGTCAAATCACCGTAAATTACTATCTGTGAAATCACGAATCGAATGTCACCTCAATCCATGAAATTGAACTGGAATTATCTGACATGGCACTTATGGTTTAATCTGAAGAAATGAACTTTAAACGTTCAAGCCAGTCTCGGATATATCGACACAGTAGGTTGAATGGACTGACGCCTATCACAAAACAACTACTTTCCTGGCCAATACCGTTGAATTATATCTGACAAGCGTCAGTGCAGAAATCTTCACAGAAAATTTCCTGCATATGCAACTGGCAATACAACTGAAACACTCGACCTTCAATTTTTGAACAGGCATATTTGCATAAATGAAATAAATAAAAAAATAAAATTTAAACAAGCAAACAAAAATAAATAGAAAAAATTTCGAATCAAGTTGCTTTACGATGTTTCGATTTTCAGTATCCACAATCGTCTTCGGGTGATAACTGAACTATTCGTTCAAGAGATGACTATTTATAGATCATTCGAGCGCTTTTATCTATCCACTCATCCACCTCTTCGCTTCACCGGTTTAGCGGGAGTTGACCGTTTTCGGATTGAATACAGGTTTCCAAATGTTGCCTATCTCTACGCTGACTTCTGAATACGTCATTTGAAAACATATATGCAGCTTCTGTGGATCTCTTATCGAACCAAACGCTTTATTCTCGGAAAAAATCTTCCCTGAAATTATACCCCTTCCAATTCAAATTTTGATTCAATTATAACCTTTGTTACTAATTCTGATTGAATCCATTTGAATATGTGATATGTGTATGCGTATAATATTAAAGTTCCCCTATAAGTAAAAGTTTCTTGTAATCAATAAGCATGATTATCATAATGAAGTTTTTCAACCACTCTCATTTAAAATCGAAGAAAATATTCATACCAAAATATTTTTAGGCATTGCGAGTCGAATAAAATGCCGTTCAAAACCTTCGAAACTATTAAGCTTTACTCTGGAATGAAACTGTAAAGATATACAAATTAACGAAATTTCATATAATCATCTGTTTCTGTCGTTTTTGTATGTCCACCATGTTCCTATAAATTATACAAGCTGCTACAGCAATCGATGTTAACGATAGTATAATGTTGTCATTTGGACTAATTTTATAAGAAACTGAATATTTCGAAACTACCTACGCAGGTGAACGTCTGTCGGAAAACAACTACTTCTTCAACTGATATCACGCTGGATATTGCATTATATCCGTCAGACATTTATGCGAGATACCTCACGTAGGTTACTCGTTCGTCTAGCTGCAGGACCAAGCAGACCGCGGTTTCGAAGTATTACCTCTCGTCAGTACAGGAAATATCCTACCCAAACAACAAAGTGCCTAGGACTCGATTGATTCCAACACAGCTCCGCTACTTATACAAAACCTTGGTCTGAGAGAAAAATTGTTAACTTGTAACAACTCGATCTCGTGAACAAAGCCCCAAGCGGGGAAGAAATATCCCATGTACCAAAATTCTAACAGAAATCAAAATAGATAACTATCTAGGTGAGATACATACGTATAAGAAAACCATCTGTTGCCCGCGGCTTCACTCGCGTTGATTTTGGTTTGTCACATCAAGGTTTGTGACAGACTGTTTTGAACAAATAGTTACAATATTTTTCATTAATCCTTGACTTCAAGTTTCCAACTTCAAATCTGACGAAATTCAATACGATCTTTGAACTCGCATTTTTCCCCGTCGGGGGATGAAAATCCCTGATTCCCTTTCTTGATTCTCATTTACGCCATACAAAGGACCTACCTGCATATTTCAAGATTCTAGGTTTAGTAGCTTCGAATCTACGTTAATTTAAGACTGTCAATCGATCAATAGGTATCCACTTATACAATATTGAATAGCATCAGCAAAAAAAAAACTGAAAGGAATAGATTAAAATAATCCCATTCCTTCTGATATTATAAATGCGTAAAGTTTGTGAGGATGCATGAGTGTAATGTATATATTTACGTTTTTACTTTTTCACGTCTAAACATTACTGGAGTTTTTTCCCAACACCAAATCGTTATTTTTAACACCTCGACACGTGTTTCGATCACCAAGTGATCATCTTCAAGTGGAAGATTGAACTGTTTAATTTTCCTCTTGAAGATGATCACTTGGACATCTCGGCAGCGGGTAGGAGTGTGATGATGGCTGGCAATGCATTCCCCTCAAAGTGCAGGCCTCTTTGGATCATCAGAATTATTGCCGTTTCTAGTAGGACCTGTTTCCAATTTTTCCCATCTGACGGTTGAGGTTTCTCTCAAGAGGGAACTAGGCAAGAGAGACTGCAAAAGGGAACTAGGCAGGACAAACTGAATAAATATATATCTGTCTGTCTGTCTGTCTGTTTTTCCGTTAATCAGCTATAGCATTCAACAACAAATCGATGAGGTAGTCGATTTCGCGTTGCTAAAAACAAACCGGCCTTTCGCAAACCACAATTTGGCGAATTTTGCGTCATGACTTGGGCCTATTCAATCTTTGTTTGGCAAATCCTAAAGCGATGCTAACGACATGTTCTGGTCTGATGAAGCTGCTTGCAGCACTCTCTTTTGCAAAGGAGTCAGCAGCCTCATTGTCTTTCAGGCGAGTATGGCCAAGAATCCAGATCAGAGACCATCTGTAGAGTCTTCCTATCGAGGAAATTCGTTTTTGGCAATTTGCTAACAATTCAGACGTCTCCCGATAGGAGCCAAGAGCTNACAATCAAACAGAAAAACAATTTATTTTATCATGAACTTTTGGAAAAAATGAAACCAATACGGAAAATCAAAACGTCATGGCAATCTACATTAAATGCTCAAATTGAAGATCTCTTTGTTGAATGCACATAATTTGTCGATCCAGACAATTTCTGTGGCAATTTTCTAGCATAATAAATGTTATACTAATACATGCAGCTCTTATTTGTGTACTTGGTGTTGAAAAAACTTCATCCTTCATGTATCCTCAAACAAAAAATCTAAAGGGTTGAGATCTGGGGATCGAGCTAGCCAGTTGATTGGTCCATTGTTTCCGAATCACATTCTTGGGAATATTGCATCTAAATGTTCCTTTACTATTGCTGCATTATGGGTAGTAGCGCCGTCCTGTTGAAAATATAGTATTTCATGGCAGATATTCAGTAGCAATTCATCTAAGTAGCCATCGAATTCATTAAATAGAAAATGAAGATACATTTCAGTATCCAAACAATCATCGTAAAAAAAAGACCCAAGGATTTTTGTTCCCACAATTCCCAATCAAACAGATATTCTGAACCTTTCTCAGAAATTGGTTTCCCTATGTGATTTGTATTATTCCACCTAAAAGTTACAAAAGAAGTAACGACAGGACCGTAATTTAAAATTGTTGTTACTGATGATGATAGTTATTTCGAATGAAACGCTATAAAAATATCAAATGTGATATACCTGGGAATTGTGAATTTATCGGTTCATCAATATATGTAATAAAAAAGACAGGTCTGTATTGAAAAAAATTGATGGTAGCCATGTTGACACGAAAAGTTTTATCGAATATTTATGATTACATCGTCATAGTACACTTCGAACAAAATAACATTTTTTCCATTTTTTGAACTCGTAAATTTTCTTCGACCATTATATTGTTCCCGATGACAGTTACCTGTTTCCCATTTAATCGTCTTCATATCTGTTATGGTTCAGAATATAGCAATGTTACTACATGATAAAAGAAACGGCCTGTACATTCATGTTTCTTTTTCCACATTTCAATGTTTGGCCTCTGTTCAGCTCGTTATTATATGATAGTGTTAATGAACGCGTTGTTCGACGTTGGTTTGCGGAATTTTGTTCCGGAGATTACAGCCCCGAAGTGGTCGACCTACAGTAATCTAGGACGAGGATTTGAGAATTCTATTAGAATAAAAGAGATTCAAGCAAGACACCTTACAGTGATTATTCTTACATATGTTTATCTTTCACCGGTATTAGCCAGGGGAATAGTCGTTTTCCGGCATGCACCTACCTGAACCCATTGTGTACCTACATTGAGAGAGATTATTGTGAATGATTTGAGATTCTACCACGAAATATTCTATACCTATTTTAATTTTCGCAGGATGTAAATTTGATCCATATAGTACTTTTATGAACAATCAAAGACATCTAAGTACAATACTGGGTAGAACGAAAATTGAAACCCTGTATACATCAAACTCCAAACACTCAAGGAATGCGTCATAGTAAAGAGCGATGAATAAATAGCTTGGAAAATAAGTGAAAAATCACTCACTTTTCAGGTGAATATCGAGTTGAATTTCACTGTTGGCGGTTATGTCACACAAATCGCATTTGAAAATCTTTCCTTGCCGTTCCGCCCTTAACTTGTGTTTCCTACCTTCTAGATGGCGCTGGAGAATCCTGGAGCTTGTCACTTTGATTTTACAAATCTCACAACTCAGTACCTGAAACAAGAAGGAGAAATGTTTTATAAAATTACATTCTTTACTTTATCTGGTAATGCACCCATTTATAATAACCAAATACTAGTAAGAATTTGGTGAAATTTTGAAAAAATCACTCACAAAATCAGAAACTTCTGCATCAGCTCATTGTGGAGATAACATTTTATAAAATTTTTGAGGAAATACAGGAATGTAGCCTTTCACGGCTGGCGTCAATGTTTTGGTTGGTTTCTGGGTTTTGCCGTCGTTTTCTTTGGTTACAATTTTCAAACGTTTCAACTGCAACAACGGCAGTCATCTTCAGTGGCGTGGTGGTGTACACTTCTTGACAAATCAAGATTGTAACCAAAAAATACCACGGCAAAACCCGCAAACAATCAAAACTAAGGAAATTTCAGAATCGTTATTCGTTCTTCTCAACTCCATAAACTCAAGAAAACTTCTGAAGGTTTTCCGAATATCGCAACACTGTATTGTATTAGGAATTGGATGCAACATATTTTGAAAAATCCATATCACCTACAGTGTAGGGAGTGGAGATCAGCTTGAACGAATTGTACTTTTAGATGCTTTGATTTATGCCAGTCTTCAAGTATGCCCACTGACTATATGTGAAAAATGTTCTTTCCTAATACGAGGAATTGGGCAAATTTCGAATATGTAGTTGGTTACCTCGCTCACAGGCAGATGGAGCGATGACAAACCTGTTGTTTGTTGTTCGCTTCAGCCTAGTTCGAGGAATGATGCTCTGAAGGAATTCAATTTTCAATTATCGGAAATCATCGACTTTATGTTGATGATAGACACTACTTTGCACTAGAGAGTGGCCAAATAGCCCGAAACCGGTCTGCAAGTGTGTTCCAGTAATTGAAAATCTATTGCAGCAGTTGTATCGCCAATAGCATATGCAGGAATACCTTCAGTAAAGAATCCTGCACTGACAAGCTTTCTTTTGAAGGTTAGTACTAACTGAAAAAGCGGTTAATGCANTATTCTACCATTAAGAATTCTTGTAGACAGTTTTATCAATATTTTTCCACGATATTTTTCAAGACATAATAAAACTATCTCACCTTTGATTGATTGGTATCCTCAATCTTCGATTTCTCAGTATTTTCTGGATTATCACTTTTACCTGAAAAGTTGAATACATCCTCCACTCGACTAGCTATTTCTCCAGACATTTTTGGTTGTAATTAATAACTACAGTAAGCAACCGGATACCATGATGTACTGAGAATAAATTGTGAAGCCTTCTTTTTTGTAAAATCTCAAAAAACGCCAGTTTTTTCACTTTCATTGAATAGTATACACGATGTTCCTCCGTAGTTTTCTGAGAAATACGTTTTGAGACAGTTGAAAATTCAAAAAAATATTTTTTTCAAACTTGAATCGTTGCATCGAATAACAGTAAAAATAAGGTAAATTTTCGTTATTAGAATTTGGTGAAATTTTGAAAAAATCACTCACAAAATCAGACACTTCTGCATCAGCTCATTGTGGAGATAACATTTTTTTAAATTTCTGAAGAAATACAGAAATGTAGCCTTTCACGGCTGGCGTCAATGTTTTGGTTGGTTTCTGAGTTTTGCCGTCGTTTTCTTTGGTTACAATCTTCAAACGTTTCAACTGCAACAACGGCAGTCATCTTCAGTGGCGTGGTTGAGTACACTTCTAGACAAATCAAGATTGTAACCAAAAAATATCACGGCAAAACTCCCAAACAATCAAAACTGAGGAAATTTCAAAATCGTTATTCGTTCTTCTCAACTCCATAAACTCAAGAAAACTTCTGAAGGTTTTCCGAAAATCGCAAAACTGTATTGTATTAGGAATTGGATGCAACATTTTTTGAAAAATCCATATCACCTACAGTGTAGGGAGTGGAGATCAGCCTGAACGAATTGTACTTTTAGATGCTTTGATTTATAGCCAGTATTCAAGTATGCCCACTGACTATATGTGAAAAATTTTCTTTTCTAACACGAGGAATTGGAGGCAAATTTCGGATATGTAGTTGGTTACCTCGCGCACAGGCAGATGAAGCGATGACAAACCTGTTGTTTGTTGTCCGCTTCACCCTATTTCGAGGAATGATACTCTGGAGGAATTCAATTTTCAATTATCGGAAATCATCGACTTTATGTTGATGATAGACACTACCTTGTACTAGAGAGTGGCCAAATAGCCCGAAACCGGTCTGCAAATGTGGTCCAGTAATTGAAAATCTATTGCAGCAGTTGTATCGCCAATAGCATATGCAGGAATACCTTCAGTAAAGAATCCTGCAAGGTAGTCACCATCATCAACCTAAAGTTGATGATATTCCATAATTGAAAATCGAATTGCTTTCAGTGTATCATTTTTCTGACCAAGCTGAAGCTACCGGCAAACAACATATTTGTCATCACTTCATCTGGTAAACAAGGTACTAACCAGCCAGGAAATTGTTGAATATCATCCAACGCCCTTCGTAGTATTAGCCAGGGAAGTAGTTGTTTTCTGATAGGTGTCAGTTCATTAACCTACAGTGTAGGGAGTTGTGACTGGTCTGATTGAATTGTTCTTTCAGATGAATTGATTTATAGCCAGTCTTCAAATATGCCAACGGACTATAAGTGTATTGAAATTCAAATTTATGAAAATATCGACAAATTCACCATATTTTGATATCAAGCAATATTTTCACAGATTTCAGAACAAAATTGTGGAAAATTTGTACAAACTCTTATGAAACTATCACTATTATAAATATTATCAGTGTCGGTGGTAAATTTGTTCATGGAGAATATAGAAAACTAGACAAAAAGTTATGAAAATATCGACAAATTCAACATATTTTGATACCAAGCAATATTTTCACAAATTTTTATAAAACTTTATTCGAAAGAAGCAGAATACAGCAAGTAACTGCTGTAATTTGTAAAAATTTTCATAAAATTATGAGTTTCATGAATATTATCAGTGTCGGTGGTGAAATTGTTCATGGAAAATATAGAAAACTAGGAAAAGATTTACGAAAATATTGATAAATTCATCATATTTTGATATCAAGCAATATTTTCCCAAATTCTAGAACAAAATTGTAGAAAATGTGTTGAAATTTTCATAAATTTATGAGTTTCATGAATATTATCGAAAGCGGTGGTGAAACTGTTCATAGAAAATATAGAAAACCAGACAAACATTTATGAAAATATCGACAAATTCACCATATTTTGATATCAAGCAATATTTTTACGGATTTCAGAACAAAATTGTGAAAAATTTGTACAAACTTTTATGAAACTATCAGTATTATAATGATACAGTGTTGGTGGCGGAATTGTTCATTGAAAATATAGAAAACTAGGCAAAAATTAATGAAAATATCAACAAATTCACCATATTTTGATATCAAGCAATATTTTCACAAATTTTTATAAAACTTCATTCGAACAAAGCAGAATACAGCAAGTAACTGCTGCTGCTAAGTACTGAAAATTGTGGAAATGTCAATTGCATACTAAATTAATGAA